TGACCAAATTATTTATATTTAGTACATCACTTAAATCTGTTTTTGCTATTTATAATTTTCTATTACAAGACAAAGTTTTTCAACATCTGAAATATGAAAAAGGACATGCAGCAAGAGGACAGTGGGTCAAATGTAAAATGCACACAAAAATCTGTATATTTTATTAATAAATGGTTGAAATACACTTCTGAATTATTTAATACTAGACCAGTAGGTCCATAATGCAAATTTTATTGAGAAAATTATTAAACTTATGATAATAAAAGTTAGGAAATCCAAACATTACACTAGGTGGTTTATATTTGATATTTATATGTGACTGACTGGAAATAATTCTCCAAAATAACATCCATTTATGTATAAAATAATTGAAAGTAATCGAAAAAGTAATTATAATTACATTGAAAATTTTAGCTGTAATCGATTAAATTACGATTACAAGTAATCGAAAATCTCTTCAATTACAGATTACTGTCGATTACTTGAAAAAAGTAATCATTACAATCGATTACGATTACCCCATCCCTGTTGGTGCATGATCAAGTTTAAAAGCAATACAAAAATGAGAGCATGGGAAACACAAATCCCTTAAAACACCAGAAATGGGATCAGGTGTCATGGAGATATACCCATCCCTTGTCTTTTGGTGATATACTCCAAAAGCCCTTTGTTTTGATCAAGTTAAAGGAGTATCCCTTACACAAATCAGTATGAAGTAAAACAATGGCTCAACTATTTGTATGAAAAAATTGGTCAACACTCTACCCAATGGCAGGTTGTATTTGCAAACAACTTCATTATAACGATCACAAAGAATCTGCATAATGTTTTCTTTTTACAAGATTGTTAATACCTCTGGAACATCAGTTTATTTGTCAGTAGTTTGTCTCGATTTAGAAAGTGATCGTTCCCAAAACAAATTCTTGCACTGGGAACCATAAACAGCATATGTTGGTGATAATTGTAAATTGTAACATTAGAAGGGAATTGATGAAATAAAAGTTAAAGTTATTTCGTTTATTATGAAGTTAAGTAGTTAGTTTTCCATCAAAATATATCTATCAAAATATCTGAATAAGAAAAAGATGTGTCAGACACTGTGATTTTATTATTTCGATTTCAGTGAGATTCTTCTAATCAAAGCAAATGTATTCTTAATTGATAAAACGTCGCCAATATATAGATGCAACAGCAAGAGACTCCTTGTCATAAAGAAGTTTTTTTTTTAAATAATCCCTGCTTTTAAAATAAGGACACAAAAACAGTTCAGCTTATAAAAGGGTAGAAAAAGAACCCTTAGGAAAGATTGTGATAATCTATGAGGCGCCGTTTTAATATTTTTAAGGTATTTTCTGATAGCACAAAATGATTTTTTGATGTCAGAAATTCGAATTTTTGATATCAAAAAATCATTTTCTGATCATTTTTTGATATCAAAAAATCATTTTGTGATATCAAAAATTCAACTTGATTTTTTTATATCACAAAATCAATTTTTTTGTTGAGGCTCATACGGATAATCAACTCTCCCCAGAATTATGGGTTCACTGTGTTTGGATTATGTACTATTCTCTAAAGAGTGAGTGGAAAGGCGAACTTGTATGTTACAAAATAAGGGCTACAAGTTTCGGTGTTTGTGATGCAAAGAGAACTTACTGAATGCATAAAGTGTTAATTACTTTATTAATTTCTATGAATCTCTTCCCATTTCACTCATATTTTCTGATATCAGAAAATCGATTTTTTGATATCAAAAATTAGAAAGCATTTTATGATATCAGAAATTCATTTTCTTTTCTGATATAAAAAAAATCGATTTTCTGATAACAAGAATTCGATTTTCTGATATAAGAAAATCTACATTAATAATGATATCAAAAAATTGATTTCCTGCTAATGATTTTCTGATATCAGGAAATCAAATTCTTGATATCAAGAATTATTTCTTGATATCAAGAATTATTTTTTGAGATCAAGAATTTGAATTATTGATTGCAAGAATTCTTTTTTGGATATTAAAAAAATACCTCTAAAAATATAGAAATGGCGCCTCATAATAATCAGGCATTTTTTCGATTGTCATTTCTCTTGAAGAAGTACAGTCATCTTCTACAATTAATCATTATGTAGTCTCTCTTTCAATTAATAATATTGAAATGTAGTTTAAAAGTTGGAGAAATCGTTTTGATTTGGTTGATCTTGGAAAAGACTTATAATTTCAAGTATGATAAAAGATCTTTTGGATTTTTAATTCCCATATAAACGTCAGTTATTGGAAATTTTTAGCAAAGTACATGTTTCTGTCTTCGTGAGGCATAAGGTTGAGGCTTAATAGAACATTTAACAGGATCCCCATTTTTATCTTTGTATGGATTTTCATAAAGTTTTGGAATCCATTACAGGTATATATAATACAAATGGCTGTTGAGAATGCTGGTATTATTTAAAACTGGAATAATTGTGTCTGATATTGAAGAATTAATTCTTCCATCGAAAGGGAACTGCAAATCAAAGTGGAATTACCAGCAATAAGATGAAAAAATGAAGATAACGACATTGATCTAACTGAAAAATCCGGTAAATAATGCGAATCGTGAACTGGGCAAAAAACGCAGAGCCTTGGTCATTGGACACACTAGAGGTGGGTTCAGACGACGAGGAGGATCCTTTGTGGATTGGTCACACCCGACGTGAGCTCTCTGTATTAATAAGCTAAATGGAGTAATTCATAGTTAAATGGTATAAAACATGTAAAACAATAGCATAGCATTTGTGGAAAACATCATGTTAGTCAAACTACGAGTCAACGATAGGTTGTATGTGTAAACAAGGTCATTGTAACGACCATATAATTAAACTGCGAAATGTTGACTTTAGGCGATATAGTTGAAACCCGTAACGAAATAATAAACATCAATTTATTTGTCAGTAGCCTATAGTTTAAAAATTAATCGTACTCCGAAATGCTCTCGAGTATCGAATAAAGTGGGAGACATAAACACCATATGCAGGTGATAGTAGAATATTACTATATAAATAGGGAATGTTGACGGTGGAAAAGCTAATTAAAAGTCATCCTATTTGTTTTATATGCATGTAGTTTAGTTGTTAGATGACCATTGACGTCTGTAATCATGCAGTAAAATATCTAAGTATGAGCTTGAATACTGTTCGTTATCTCCATTTATTATATAGTCTATTTATAATCTCTATATAATCTATACAAACGCAAACAGTTCATAACACTACATATTCACTGGTTTTGAAGCCGTATTCACCGGAGGGACGGTGCGCGTGCAGCGGCATTGTGACGTCACAATCAAAACCTCAAACAACGTTGTAAACAATGGTTGCAACTGCCGGAGTCAGCTGTGTATCTGAGCAGGAAAAACATTAGCCAAGCCTATCGCAGGATTATTTCTAAACATTATGATGTCTTACAAACAGCAAAAGGAAAACACGGAAGTTATAATTCGTAATCTGGACATCTTTTTTTATTTTTCTACGACAGAAGTTCGTAAATGGAAGTGGTATCATCATACAGCCTTTAATGTCTTATTTATTCACATCCGGACTATATAATAAAACAATTATGGACTCTTTCGGTGGTGAATATGGTTTGTTATTCACCAGAAAAATATCAATATTGACCTCGGCTTCGCCATAGTCCATAATTGTATAATATTTCATGAAACAGATGTAGCGGGCTCAGTGGTGTCTTTTGTTTCGAGTTCAGTGGAACTATCGTTCATTGTTAAAACGTCGCAATATATCGAAATGTTGAATTAAAAGCTACAGAAAGAATTTTCTTGTTCTCGTGTAGAGGATTTTGAATAAAACCTGCTTTGTAAGAATATAAAAGGACAAGTCCGTTAATAAAGGAGCTCAGTATTAGTGCAAATTACATATGATTCCCACAAAATGTTGGAAGACCCGTATGCTCTTCAAAGATTACGTAGATAGTGTCAATGAGGAACCACATCACCTTTTTAATCACTGTATCAACTTCAGAGTACTTCTGTATAGCATTAAAACTTAATTTTTGATGTTCAACGTAATTTCGTAGAAAACCTATCACAAGATATTTCATTCATTTGATGAAGAGGCAGTTAATTGATGTCAATATTTCATATATATACATGTATTGTTCAAAGAAGCAGTCGTACATGTCTATGATGTCAAATAGCATGGTCTTTGATTCATTGTGAAACAATTTCTATATATATATATATATATATATATATATATATATATATATATATATATATATATATATATATATATATATATATATATATATATATATCTGTATATTAAGTGTTGAAAAGTTGATGTTACTGACTTTGGAAAAAAAAATGTGATTCCCGATTTTCTAAAAGTTCTTTGAAGTTTTCAGAATTCACATTTGATTTACACCACTTCTCAAACATGATGTTTGACAGAGAACAGCACTTGAGTAGATATACATGTAAGCACGTGACTTCTTGAGAATGTATTTATAATGATTAAGTTGGATTTCAGATGTGGAGATAAATTAGAGTTTTAATAAATATTTTTTTTTGTATTTCATAGGTGTCGGAACCGGGGGGGGGGGGGGGGGGCTTAGCCCCCCCCCCACTTTTTTTGCAAAGATAGACATAATATATGTGTTGAAAATTGGGGCTCAACTTTTTTCGTTGGTTTAGCCCCCTCCCCCACTTTCAATTAGCCACCCCACTTTCAATTTGCTTCCGACGCCTATGGTATTTTAAGTAATATAAATAACCATAATGATATTCTCGCTAGAAATGTCAGATCCATTGTGCAAAGCAACTAGATCTATAACTCGAAGCGTATATATATATCATGAATAAGGGTGCTTTCCATTAACGTTGATCTGCATTCATTCATATATATATATATATATATATATATATATATATATATATATATATATATATATATATATATCATTTGAATAATTCAATAAAAAAAACAACCTGGAATTTATATCGTTACAGGTGCTAGGGCAAATGAAGTCATTGAAAAGATCATGGGTTTCCCTCGAGTTTTAGGGGCTGTCGACGGATGCCACATACAGATAAGAGCTCCACAAGAAAAATACCATCCCATGTCTTATCTGAACAGGAAACGGGACTATTCGGTTATATTACAGGTGAACATACAATTCGGTTTAAAAATACTATAAGGCAAACAACAGCACTTCTTAATCGCCTCCATGATTCCTGTGATTTAATTCATTCATTTACTTTTTAGGCTGTATGTGATCATACTTTACGGTTCACGGACATTCTATCCGGATGGCCTGGGTCAGTACATGACGCAAGAGTCTTCAAAAATTCACCCCTTTATGAAGCCAGCTGCAGTGAAAACCTTTTTCCTGGCGATACACATATTGTTGGAGATGCAGCATATCCACTGCAAAGGTTAATAAAAATTGACATTTATTTAAAGAAATGGGCAGATTATACTTTTTTGAAAACCATGTACATCATTTATGTTCAAGTTATTTGTATTACATTTCAGTTGGGTTTTAACACCGTATAAAGATACGGGGAATCTGGCAGAGTGTCAGAAAAGATATAACTTCATACATGCAAACACTCGTCAAACGATTGAAAGAGCCTTTGGTTTGTTGAAAGGAAAATGGAGGAGGCTGAGATTTCTGGAAATGACCAAACTTGAAGATGTCCCAAGTGTTATAACAGCAGCCTGTACACTTCACAATATGTGCATAGAGGTATCCCCCCCCCCCTCAAACTTTGAAAAAAAAAAATCGTGAATTTTGGCATACGAAACACATGTAAAAATGAATCTTGCTCTTACTTGATTTCTTTTTTTTTTTTACAGAACAATGAGAATGACCTGGACATGTGCAGTGATACCAGTATCTTTGCTGATGCTCCAGCTGTGAGTGAGCCTTTGAACCAGAGTGGATCAGTAAAACGGAATGCCCTAGCCCAGTATTTCTGGTCTACCAATCGATATTAAATTCAACGAAATAAAGAAAACAATGCTAAATTTACAAATGTTTCCTTTTTTATTACAATTTAAGAAAAAAGCTTTTTATGTAACATTTACATTAAAACTTTTCCATAATCAGGATGATGCCTCCTGAAATTGTAGCTATTAAGTTAAATCCAATCCAATTTTTGGGTTGAAAAATCCTTAATTATCATCAATGAATGCATATACATACATGTATCAATGAACAACTAATAGTAGATTAACATCAATATTTAGATGTGTTGACGTAAATTGAATGGACTTGTCTACACTATCAATAAACAATGGGTAATTATTGGGTAACAACTTCAATACTCACATGCCTCTAGACCATAAACTACTTACATACTAAGGTCAAAATTTCAAATTAATGTACCTACTTGAACAATAAAAAATGATTTGTTTGATGTACAACCTGTCACAAATATTATCTGTATAACAGTCCTTCGCATAATGAGAACATTAATAAATTATTTAAAGTGTGAGTTTTAAGATAATTATCAAAAGTACTTGTAACTTAAAAAGAAAAAAAAAACAAAACTATCTACCAACACACCTTGAAAAATGATGGTCAGAGTACAATATAAAAATATGGATGGCTCTTGATGCATGAAAACATAACAAAATTTTCAGTATGTCTTTGTTTTTGAATATTACACAAAATTGCATTGTTTTGAAGAAGTGAGATAAACATTCTCTTCAGGGCTAAAGACCATAAACTGAGAATATAAACTTTAGTCAAAATTTCAAACCAATATATCTTTTGAAATAATTTTGATAATGAAACAAATGAAGTAAAATATTCAACATATGTTTGAATTAAAATGTTAGACAAAATTGAAAATTTTTAAGCAAATACATTCAATAAAACTAAAAATATTAAAAAGCAAAATTTTGACTTTGATCAATTCTCAATTTATGGTCTTGGGGTCATGTATTTACTTATTTGATCTATGATATCAGAAAACACAATAAACTTATTTTTCAAGCAAAGACACTAATTTCTCCATAAGCACCAGCTTTCTTTCATTCACTCTCATCTGCTCCTCCTGAAACTTTCTCCTGTCATCCCTCACCTCAGTCAACAAATCTATCAACTCATCCTCCCTCTTACGCTTAGACACGTTCTTCACTTTCTCACACCCTACTTTAACACTCACTCTCTCATGCCCCTCCCCTTTCTCCCCCTTCTCACCACTAATAATACTTAACCCCTTACCCACACCAACAGATATTGTTTTTAATGGCGTTATTTTTGGATCATCACCCATAACCTCCATCATTTCTTCATAGAACTCCATGGACCGCCGTCTCTCACCAGACTTCTTATTCGCATCCTCTACTGCCTTATACTTGGCAGTAAGCTTGTTGAATTTTGATTGACACTGAAGCCAGTCACCAGTAAACCCATACTCTTCCTTCAATTTGGCTGCAATTTCTTTCCATAGAGCTTTATGGGTCTTCTTCTTTGAGGCAAACTCTGCATCCAACTCGCCTCTTAAATTGATGAGGCCTTTCGTGAGACAGTTGGTCCACGTTTGCTTTTCATCTACAAAATAGACAATTTTATAATCTCTTATAATGCGTGAAAATTAAATTCAACAAGCAAATTCAAAGAATTGTGGTCCCCCGCTTTCGGTGTCTTAGTAGATGGGATGCTGTTATTTATGTCACATCGTGTCAAATATGAACGCCCTATCATATGTCATTCTAAAGTAATCACCAAAGTTAACATTTTTGAAAATTAGGGCAAACATGATAGTCAAGGTCAAGGGGCAAAAAATCATAGCGTGCTTGGAAACTTTTTGTCACCAGTAGTGTACTTGTCAAATATGAAAGCTCCATCTCTTCTCAATCAAAATTATAAGGAAAGATAACATTTTGAAAAGTAGGTCAAACATCACTGTCAAGGTAGCTGGGTCAAAAATCACGGTATATTTAGAAAGATTTTACCACAGGTAATATACATTTGTAATATGAAAGCCCTATCTTTTATCAATAGTTATGACCAAGGTCAAAGATTTTAAGACAGACGGACTGACTGACAGACGGACAGGCTGACAGATGAATGCGATTTAATGTCCCCTTGCTTTAGCGAAAGGGGGGGGAGGGAACAATGATATCAGTGAGAAAGAAAATATCATATTAATAGTATATGTACTGATATAAATAGAAGAGTCCAAATTTAGTGCCTAAAACTCTGTCCCAGGGGGCATGGAATATACAATTTATTTAGGAAGCTGTATGTTTTCTTTTTAAATATGGAATCCATTAAGTTTTCATTCTGTACAAACAGATTTCAAAAGCATTTTTCAAAATTTTATCTAATAGATTGTACAAGAAATGATGTACCTTGCACAGGTGTGGCAGGAGAAATTTCTGCGACAGTTGTTTCATTTTCTTCCCCTATTGATACAAAAAATATTTATTAGAAATTTATATGCTATCTAATAACAAGAGGCCCATGGGCCTTGAATCGCTCTTCTGATAAACTGTACATCCTATCACTTCTACTTGAAGCCTCGAAGTATCCTGTATATTTACATAAATTAACCCTTGAAATTCCAATTCACACACTGAGAACCCAAGATGATTCTAAGCCAATTAGTACCTGAGAGTTGGTAATGGTGACCTACTTATCACTTGTCATTCTCTGAGGACCCATCAACTGAGTTTGATGATTCTAAGCCAATTAATACCTAAAATATTTTTTAAAATTATAATCATAAAATTTTATAAGTGGGTCAAAGTGACCTACTTTTCAATTGTTTTACTCCAAGGACCCAAGATGCCTCAACTGACAAAGTTTGATGATTCTAAGCCAATTAGTACCTGTAATATTTAATTAAAGCCATAAATTTTCAAAAGTAGGTCACCGTGACCTACTTTTCAGTTGCTGTACTCCAAGGACCAAAGATACATCGACTGACAAAGTTTGATGATTCTAGCCAATAAGTACCCAAAATATTTAATTACAGCCATAAATTTTCAAAAGTAGGTCACAGTGACCTACTTTTCAGTCAACCTACTCCGAGGACCAAAGATGCATCAACTGACAAATTTTGACGATTCTAAGCCAAATAATTCCTGAAAAATATTAAATACAGCCATAAAATTTCAAAAGTAGGTCACCGTGACCTACTTTTCAGTTGTTGTACTCCGAGGACCCAAGACGCATCAACTGACAAAGTTTAATGATTCTAAGCCAATTAGTACCCAAAATATTTGATTAAAGCCATAAATTTTCAAAAGTAGGTCACGGTGACCTACTTTTTAGTCGACCTACTCCGAAGACCCATGACGCATCAACTGACAAAGTTTGATGATTCTAAGCCAATTAGTACCCGAAATATTTAATTAAAGCCATAAATTTTCAAAAGTAGGTCACGGTGACCTACTTTTTAGTCGATCTACTCTGAAGACCCAAGATGCATCAACTGACAAAGTTTGATGATTCTAAGCCAATTAGTACCCGAAATATTTAATTAACGCCATAAATTTTCAAAAGTAGGTCACTGTGACCTACTTTTTAGTCGACCTACTCCGAAGACCCAAGATGCATCAACTGACAAAGTTTGATGATTCTAAGCCAATTAGTACCTGAAATATTTAATTATAGTCATATAAATTGAAAAGTAGGTCACGGTGACCTACTTTTCAGTTGACCTTTTTTGAGGACCCAAGATGCATCAACTTACAAAGTTTTATGATCATAGGACTTAAAATGTCCAAATTATGCCTCTAAAACGCTTTGAAATCGAATGCCTGCAAAGTTCAAAAAGTAGGTCACTGTGACCTACTTTTTAATAAATATGTTTTATGGCCCCAAGAGGCATCATCTTACAAGATTTAATGATTCTAAGCCTCCCCGTATTCGAATTAATGACCTTAATTGTTTTAAAAAAGATTAGCCATAAAATTCAAAAAGTAGGTCAAGGTGACCTACTTTTTAAGTGACGTACTTTGACGACCCAAGATGCATCAACTGACAAAGTTTGATGATCATAGGCCTTAAATTGTTCAAAATATGCCTCTAAATCATTATGAAAAAGAATGGCCTTTAAAATTTGAAAAGTAGGTCACCGTGACCTACTTTTGAGTCAACATGATATGAGGTCCTTAGATGCACCAACTGACAAGATTTGATGATCCTAGTCCTTATAGTAAGCAAAATATCAACATTTTAATAAAATGTAATTTTTGGTCAACTTTGAAGTGACCTTGAGACCACACCCATTGCCCCAGGGTAAATCCCCGTGCAAATTTTAATCTACAACATATCCTCATCCTTTTGTGTAAGTTTGGTGATAATCTGCCCAGTGGTTCTTGAGAAGAAGATTTTTTAGCAACCAGTACTTTTGTTTCTATTTTCCTAATTATCTCCCCTTGTTAAAGGGTCACAACCCCAGTTTTAGTATAAAAGGGAGCCCTTGGGCCAAGGATACCCTGTGACAAATTTGACAATAATTGGCCAAGGGGTTCTTGAGTTATGGCCCATATTCTAAAAAGTTTACGCACACCGCACAAATGGCCATAGCATTAGCTCTTTGAGCCTTTGGCTCAGAAGAGCTAAAAATGCAATCTATTCTGATCATTTCATTCAACTTTCAATGGCATACATGTTTGTTAATTAATTATTGAATTATTAGGAATTCATATAATGAATACATGGCAAAATTTATAATTCAGTAATTGGTAAACAACACATGTATCAATTATTGTGCACACTTTTGGCATGAGTTACTTTTTTTTTTTAATAAACTGAGAATATATTCTCTGAACACTTATTTAGAATTGCAAAACAATGTATATTAAGGACAAATAACACAAACAAACTTTTTTCAGAAATCAGCAATATTTCTCATAGATTAATATTCAAATAGGTAACCTGAATGATATTCCCTGGGTAAAGTGGAAGAATTTTGTAAGATTTTGTCACAATGTCAAAAATACATGCAAAATTTTGTATAGAGTTTCATAGAAAACGATACAAAGTTGCTTACACATGTATAAGCACCAAAGAAAACTTACAATTTCTTTATATTTTAGGGATTGATTATTTATGTTATTTCCATTCATAATCAGTCAAAAAAAATATATATATATCAATCCATGCATCAAATTCTTGTTTGTGGTATGTACCCTTAAGTCAATTAACATGACTCTTAAATCATAAATTAAAAGAATAATTTTGAGGCATTACACCAAAATCCTTCCCGCATGTATAAAGATTTCTTTACTTAGTTACCATGTGCAATTGCCACAGTGCTTGTTGCAGCTTTATGCATCGGCTGACAAGCAGCCCCCTGACCATGATGTGGTTCTTCTTCCCTGCAAATATTTTGAAAACTAGAGTGGTATTAAAAAATTTTGAACCTTCTAAATTCTGGTTATCCGTAGCAGTGTTTATTTCTTATCATTCTTATTGCTGCACAAAATTTCATATCTTAAATAAAACATCGATGAAAATCTGCATACTAATGACAACATATGCAAAATAATTAAAATTTATTTTAATATATTATGATTATTTTATTTACAATGTGAACATACCTTTTCCATTTGAAGTGTGTGAACTTTTACTTACTTTGTACTTACAGTTATTGTGAAAAAAATGTTAACTCGTCAAGACTTTAACGTAAAATACCTATACACAGTAGCCATGTTATCCTTAAGAATAAGGGGTTGTACTGGCGAATTTACTGGATAGTTATGTTGATTAAAGTGAGCTATTAAACGAAAGAAATAACGAATTGCATCCAGGACAATGCAGTAGCTCCAGAGACGCCATCGTCAACAAACAGATAAAATGTAAAAGACAAGATCTTCTTAATCCAGACAGGTGATATGACGCAATAAGCAGTCAAATATGACGTAAAAAGGTGGGAATACTTACCATGCGTTTTGCGTTTACTTACCAAAGGATATAAATAAACAACCGTTTATTCTATGTGTGGAGAAAATTCGGGGTGGTTGTACTTTACAGGTTGAATTTAAAAAAATCATATATAATTAACTATGAAACGGATACTTATCTTGAAATGTGTTGGAAGGTGTTCTCCAGAACTAATTTTTATGCATTGATGTTGTTATTGAGCATATTATGACCCATCTTAGGAAAAATCGCCGTTTTGTAGTATCTGTAAATCTCTTCTTGATGACTCGACGCCATATTGTTTCCTAATCGGCAATGGTAAAATGCGTAACCGCAATTGCCAGCCGGCAACGCGCGTTCCATTCTCCGGCGTCGACGGCAACACCGGCAAATCCGGCGTTGCCTGTTTAATGGAAAGCGCCCTATGTGTCAGTTCAGTCAGTGCTTATCGGGTATTTAGGTTATACTCTTACATTGCAAACTGGAAACGGTATACGTTCCGGAAATGGTTAGTAACAACTTTTAGTCTAAAAATTGCGTAATTAATTAATATTAAACACTGCCACAATAATCATGTAGAATATACGCACATCAAACACTATAAAGTTCATGTTTATTTATGGATGTTTCAAGTGTTTGAGGTAGGCCTATGCGAAGTTTCCCTTTTTTTTCCATTTGGACCGAAATTCCTCAGTATTAGATAGACTTTTGCTGGAGTAGAATTTTATGGAGTACAGTTATTTTATATACTAGGCCTATTTAAAACACAGGATATTTTTATAACCAAAATGTCAATTATATCTAATTAATTCATATTATCTGTTGGCGATTCTAAATAGGCATAATAGGAAATAAACATTTTTGGTGTTAGATCAACATGCATCGATATATAACTATAAGGGAAGGTAAATATTTCGTGACAAGCCCCTGTGGTTAGATCTAACGTTACATGTATATTATGTTTAAGAATAATGATTGTTTGAAAAAGATACGGAAATGCATAACTGCCTTGTTAACTTCTTAAACAATTTAATAATGTGTTTAGCTATATGTACTCTGTGGCATGTGTCACATGTATTAGTCAGATGTGTAGTTGTATGACCGATACATGTACTATAAACTAAGGTGTAATGGTGCACTCTTGTAGCTCCTGTCTCTCTCCACCACAAATGAATTGGTCAACTCTTGATCCTCATGCTTATTGATTAAAATTAAGGCTGGGATGATATATCCAGGAATCGATATTCAGTGCCCTGTTCATACAGAGAGTTTAATTCAAATTAAATGTAAGTTACTGTGAATTAAAGTTGAACCACATTCACATAAGAATTTAATGCAAATTGGTTTAATAATTTACTGCACATTAAATTACTTCGCATTAGCTCTGAGTGAACGCTAATTAAGCAAAGCTAATTGGAATTAAATTTTGATGCATGCGTAATCATGATAATGGCAAAATTAAGTCTCGATGCCACATGTCGGTGGTCAGATATAGGTACTTATGCTATTTTTTAGTGAAAAACAAAGGAAAATTATGTTAATCACTGAAGTGTGTACAGACACTATGACATATTATGTCAAATGGATCTGCTCTGCATAAGGTGACGTATGTGATTTGAAAATTAATACATCATATTACCCTTACTGAATAGCCTTACTGTAGTGATCTCAAACTTGAATTATCCAAATGCAAAACTTGGTTCCCAAAATTACCAGAAAGAAAGAAGAAAATTATTTATTAATGTAAATGTTTTTGTTTTTTTTTTTTTTTTTAAAAAAAAAAAGAAGGATAACCAGACACACTACTGTCTATTTGGCAAGTTGAGGTACCAAAATAAATTTTGATGCCATGTTTATAGGTAAATGTATACCACTGTCCTTGTAGATAAATTTATACCACTGTGCTTGTTAATAAGTAGGTCACAAAATTGTCAGACATAGACCGTATTTACAACGAAACAAAATAGAATGACGAAACTGATTATCATGAACGGTATAATCTAGAAACGCTACCAATTAAGGGATTCTGAATGCAAAATCAATGTTGGTCACATACTGGGCAGAAATCAAGTGTTAGATTTATTTTTTATAAACTAATGTAAGCTAGATAATAATATACTTTTTAACAGAAAAATTCACTTGTCTGATCGGACAAGTAGGAGAATTTACTTGCCCCATGAAATCAAACAACCATTAATGTCGATCCCTGATATCAATATAAAAGCTAGATACCTCATGAAAAGGGGCAAGAATCTAGGACCATAATGAATTGAGTTTGGAAATTTTCAGTTTAGATTAAACAATATATTTCTTCATATTAAAACACCAAATAAGAATATTCAGAGAAGCTGTATATCCGTTATAGCACAAAAATTCCTAACCAATTAAAAATATGATATGTATTATATTGTAGTACTAATATCCAGATAGGTATTGATATAGAAGACAGCTAGTTTATCATCCCAACCCTAATTGATTTCATCCTTAAGGTTTTCTTCAATGGGTGATAAATCTAGCTGTACTGCATTAATTAAGTGGCCATTCCAACTTGTCCAACATACTAGCTGTAACTTACAGGAGAAAATCTGACACACCAGACTAGCAGGCATTGAACCTGGGCCCACAGGCACTTGTTTTTGTAATAATTTTTTTAACCCATAGTATATTTATTACACAAGGTATCTAACTCTGAATTACATGGAGTACCCCCCTCCCCAGAATCACAGTCATTTACACTTTCAGAGAAAATGCACTGACAAACTGTTTATTACCATTGTCTTCTACGATAATTTATCTACACAACCATGATGGCGTGCTAAGTAGCTTGTCTTTATTTTATCTCCATAAACAGTTTCAACTGCTTATTGATGGGAAAATTTGTCTCTGACAGTTACACTGTGAAGTGGTATGTATTAATGTTTTTGGATTTTGATTGGCTAAAAATCTTTTTCTAAAATAACGTCAGAAAAACATTATGTTTTTATGGAAAATAGAATGTAAACAAATTTTATTTATTCACTGCAATATTTAAACATTGGAATTGAATTTTGAAACCCACTCTTTTTTAAATTTGCTCTTTGCTTGAGACTAGTACATACCTTTTCTAGTTTGGAACACAAGGGCCAAAGCAATCCAGGTGAGCACTGTGGCCCATGGTTTTCTTACTTAAAATTAGGTCAGACAGTCTGGCATGTAACCCACAAAAATCTCTTTCCTAATTGCAGTAGTTATTGGAATTTAACTTTGCCTAGTCATTTTAATGATTATCATGATTATATAAATGTAAAATGTCAATAAACTTCATCATTGATAAAATGCTTACCCACACTGATAATCTTTTCTTAAATGCATGAATTCAAATAAGAAACTATAATTTTAAAAATGACAGTACATATTATAAGTCTATCAACCAAGTAAAATTCAGCTTTATAAATAATAAAAGTGTCCAAGAATTGGTAAATTAATCCAATGACTCCTCTATTCATGTCTTTTATTTAAAAGAAAACTTTTTTGATCAGAGTCAGTATATTAGCATTCATATACATGTATATATATGCAGGAATTTTCTGAGCGTATTATTGACCAGAATAATCAATTATCAGTGTGAATTTAAATGTATTACTTCTATTGGGATTCTCATGGAGAATACATGTAGTGGCAAAATCAATGAAATTCTCTATTTGTCACTATTGTGCATGCATTTCCACACATTCATCCTGGTCATCTTTAGCTTTCACCATATATATATAATGATCCATCTTCCATTTAATTATACTTATTCTCTCTCTCTCTCTCTCTCTTTGCATTTCTTAATTGTGTCACTGAAATGCAAATTTTATTGCAAAGTGATGTATGATGATGTGAAAACAACTTTATGAAATAAATAAAAAAAAATCAGAAATAATTCTCCGAGGAATTGTAAGAGAATAATAGAAAAGATGATCCTCGAGAGATTTTGTTGGAAAATAAAAACCTCACCCTTCAGACTTGGTTTTTATTTCCCAACAAAATCTGAAGACTGGGAGTTATTCTCCAACAATTTCAATGACAATTGGGAATTATTTCTATTCTGCCATTGCAAATTTTTAAACCACGAGGCACCTGCTCCCACCTCTTAGATTTTCCATGGGTCTATGTTTTATACCCTGATCTATTATAACCTCTAGATTTTCCAGGGGTCTATGTTTTATACCCGGATCCCACCTCTAGTTTTTCCAGGGGTCTATGTTTTATACCCTGATCCCACCTCTAGATTTTCCAGGGGTCTATGTTTTATACCCTGATCCCACCTCAAGATTTTCCAGGGTTCTATGTTTTATACCTTCGTCACAGATTTGTTTTGTTTATAGTTTTTTTTGTGGATCGAATCATTATCTTTAACTTTTTTTGAATAGATAAGTGGAGTGGCTAGATTTGAACTTCAATAGAAGTGTCTTTTGAATTGTTACAATCGAATGTTACTTATTAATTTACACTACACCTATTAAAGTTTTCCATACCCTCACCCTGACACCACCAAGTTTAAACTTAATTTTCAAGACAAACTGAGAACTAGCATAATATTCTCCTTTCCCACATCAAATATAACATTTGTCTCTTAATAGCTTAAAAATTGATATTTACGCCCTCATCTGAGAAACACTATGCTAAAACAGTTTTAAAAACCTGAGCTTTTGCTCAGACACAAAATGGGTAACATTTTAGACGAATTCAAGTCAAATCTGATCCAAAATATGGCTATTTTATTCTTATATATATAGTCCAGTTTTACATTGATTTATTGCTTTCTTACTGTTCTGTAACTTGCCTTGATAATATGCCACCTGTATTGTGATTATCATGATTATATATTTGTGTCTTCATGACACACCTACATGTATCTATGATCATAATGTTTCTTCATTTACAAATCATAGTAGCTCAGTAAAAATCAGAAGGTTATGGGTTCAAGCCCCAGCTGAGACAGACTTAAATTAATACAAAAAAAAGATAGCAACTTTCTGGTCTTTCTGATGAGAAAAAATGAAAAAGGAACTGAAGAAAACTTTCCTTATAAAATATTAAAAGAATATATCATTGATATCCAGCTAATAGGTTTAGCTTAGCTATTATAATAAAGAAATTGATAAATGTAGATTTTACTCTGGGGCACATGTAAGTATTGTGAACATTTCTTCGACTCCTTTTCTATTTCCCAGGGTAATGCTGATTAAGATTTCATAGTTGTTGAATAATGAATGTTCAGTTTGATAAAATACCCGTAGGTTTCAATTGCCAAATTCTATGTCTGTGTTTGACCACTGGTGTTAGGAGTAGAAAAAATTCCAGAAATAGAAAAAAAATATCTGAAATGAAGAAAGAAAAATATTCGTTGGGAATGGAAAAAAAAATGTCAGAAATGATGAACATGTAATTCTGGAAATGAAAAGCAGTGGGTAATGGCCCAATAGAGAACCCTTTGTGCTAAATGGCCTTGACCAACTTGAATGCCAGATAAAGGTCTAAATT